TTTGATGAAAAAAAAATCTTTAATAAACACAGAAGCAATAAAATTTCCAGCCAGCGTAAATTTTATTATATATTTAAAAAAATATTTGGAAGTAATTGGAAGTAATTAGAAGTAAAGACTAGAAATGAGTTGGGGGTGACTAGAACTTTAGGCGTAGTCAGTTTCAATAACCTATCATATAGAGGATGTCATGGGGGTCATGGTTGAATAGGGGCAAAAAGTTCTCATTACACTCCTAGGGGATCAAAATGGCCAAAAACCAAGCAATTAACAATTCTTATTTCGGCTATAACTCCGCCTCCTTCGGAGGTTCTTACACAGTCTTTACTTCCCGCATCCCACTTGTATCTATATTGTAAATATCTTCTTGTATATTCAATTAATAATTCATACACGTTTAAGCATACACTCATTACTAAAAAAAATTTTTCAAAAAATTCAAATTCAAACATATTTTTCTTACTAATTATAAGCCACAGTACTAGATTTCGATCAAATGGTAATGAAGCCATGGATGGTAAATCACACAGCCTGAGCGTTACAAAAGCCTATTCACTCTTGCCTTAAAGACACCCAGATTGTTATCGGACGGAAAGACAAACGCTAGCAAATTATTCCACTCCTTTACCGTACGCATTACGAAAGACGAGGCAAACCGTTTAGTTCGAATGCGTGGAATATCGACACAAAAAAGGGGTGAAGGTCCGCCCAGCGCTTGGTTTTCCCATGGTATAAACGGGGAGAGAGGTATTAAGGCATGCAAATTCCTGTGCAGATTCTCCGAAATGCATGCTATAGAATACCGAGATGCTGGCTACCCTGCACCTATACTTGAAGCTGACAAAATTAGTTTGAACTTAATAAAGGTCACCAATAAACCCCTTTCAGGGCACACTGAAAGTTCTGCGATCTTGACCTCTCACAAATGTTTGAATTTTTAAATTGATTAAATGACATAGTAAAATTGATTACAATAATTTGTTGGCGGAAAGTCGCGTGTCAATTGTTTTTTATCACAAATTGAAGTTCGTCATCCGTATCAAAAATAGAATTAAGGCGAAAAAAATTTAAGACAATGATTTTTTTATGATTTTAAAAGTTCACTCCCTTCAAGAGAGAGTAGAGTTAAAAAACTTAAACAACACGCATTGATCATGAACTGTGATGATCCCGATCAGGATACTAGGATTAAGTTATTAAACTACTGTATCGTCATCGGTCCTTGATACGAATGGTGAAAATTAAATGAAAAGATTTATATATCTAGAGACGTGTACACACGAAACTAATAAGAGTTTTAAAAATGAATTGAACAAATGAAAAAGTGTTTAAAATGTAATAGACAATACTTATAAAAATGGTAAATAAATTAGCAAACTTTTTAATTACGTTACGGAAATTTTCAGTTTACCGCACATAGATGTATAAATACGAGTATTATATGTGTGGATAATTTAAAGTTAATGAAAAACATTTTGATACAAAATAATACAATCTAAAAACTTATATTATTTTAAGCAAATAATGAAGTGCAAAAAAATACTTTGAGAGGTATTATGTATAAAATCGATAAGTATACAAATATACGACTAAATAAAGACAGGGAAAACAAAAACGCAAAGCACCATAATTGTGGATGGTACACGAATTACACAAGAATCGCCCACTCGCGCACTATCACGTAGTACCTTTGACTCGAGTCGCATCGTCGCCTACTTGCAGATAATGAACACCTCAATAACCACCAACCAACAACACCCTTTAAGCGTTATTAATTTTACTCGAACCAAAATATAGCTGGCTTGGCTCCACCAAGTATAAAATAATAATAAACACGTATTGTCAGAAATTTGGGGATCTATGAAAACCTTAGTTAACACTTTCATTCCAAATCAGATGTTCTGTGGGCAAGAAGCCAACTACAGCCACTACAACCAAGCCCCAACGATACTAACGTCACTCAATTGTTTTGCCTTCCCGGAACCCTTCCACTAACACTTAAACTTTATGGTATGGTATTAAAGTTCAAATTGACTTTTAAGTATTATTACGAATCTTTTGTATGGGAATATAGAAAAGTGATGTTTTTAAACTTTTTCAGGCAATTTTTTAAATTTTTCTCTTCGTAAGAACCATCTTCGTACTTCAAGGAATATTATAAAAAAAGAATTAGCGAAATCGGTTCAGCTGCTCTCGAGATTTGCGCTTAGCAACACATTCAGCGATTCATTTTTATATTATAGATGTATTATATTGTGTCTAATTACTGTTTGATTGACAAAAATATTTTTTTTAAATCGATAAATGAAATAAATGACACTATCTTCATAATATAATAAATTGTGCTTGTAAACGGCTTCCACGATTTGGATGAAATTATTATGGGGTACTACCATAAGTAACATTTTTATGATATAAAAGAGAACAGCGGAGTATAAAAATTTATAGTTACATCGTTCTTGGGAATATATTCGCAATGAATGTGCTTAATGGCTTAGAACGTTACAAATGCACACTAATGTTTATAGTTAGTTGTACATCGCAATAATTTCTAGATTAAGCCGCAACCGGCTCAGAACTATTAAAAGCAGTTGAATATTTCTCAGATCAACTAATAAAGAAAAAATTAAAATTGTGCAGTTTTTGGTTAGGTGGCAAATTACTGCGAGAATGATGTGGTGGTAGTATTGAGACAGTCGGACGGTGTCGGTCTTACAAGACCCCATGGTCACCTGGATGATTTATAGCTATATTTGAACCCGGTAGGTGGCGCTGTTCTCGAGATCAGAAATCACAGGTGTGAAGCTGGGCGGATCGCTAGTATAATCCTAATGATGACGAATGATTGTTTTTTTATATGCTTATAAGGTACAGATTGCTTAAATGATTTTTGGATTATAATTATCTCATTATTCCCAAAAAAAATTCCTCAAACGTTTCATGAGAAATGATAAAGAATGATGAATAATTGGAATAGATGGTATCTACAATAATATTATTTTATACTACCAAGTTAATATACAGAAACTTATGCATTTCGTTGTTGAAATCAATCAAAAGAACATCCACAAATTAAGCTGGCACGCATCTTTATTAGACAAAGAAGGATGAGTATATTTTTATTTTTTATATTTTTATTGCGTGGTAGAGCCATGCTGTAGCTATATTAGTAGTATAGTTGTAGCACGAATGAGTTGGCTCGACCGGGGAAGGACCACGCTCTCACAGAATACCAGCCTAAAGTAGCAGCTTAACGCTGCTGTATTTCGTATGGTGAGTGTAGAGAACCGGAGACTCTTTTTACTGGAAACGAGGCATTCCATCTTAGTTCACACGGGTGACGACGCATTTGTAATCGAAGATAGATGTAGATATATATGGGCCGCAGGAACAACTTACCATCAGGTGGACTGTGTGCTCGTTTGTCACCCCTTCATTATAAAAAAAAATTAAAAAAGTTTAAGCCCAAAGAAGAAACTATGTGTATAACTAACTATGAGAAGATTAGTAACCTCATAGAACAATAAGATTAAGATAGATAACATACAACTGCAAATACGATACATAGTGAACCTTAACAAATATAAGTTAAGACACAAAACTAAATATATTTATTATTAAGTTAATATTTAGAATAAAATCAGACCACATTCCATAGAAAAAGTTTCTTGTTCGATGAAATGAACTTCATCCAATTGTGAAACTTGTGGGACTAATCCAAGATTTACATCATTTTAATGGAATGTGAGCGGAATCGAGGAGCAAGGGAATTATTTAAAAGATCAAGATAAACGTCTACAATAGAGATATTGCACACATAACCCCACTTCGAAATTGCATTTGTGTGTGCAGATTAATAGTTAACGTATAGATTTTAAGTTTGTTATAATGTGATTGTTATGTCTTCAAACAAAAATCCCTAAATAAATCTGCAAATACATCGAAACAGGTCATGGTGACAAATTATTTCTCAACCAAACCAAAATAAAAAATGAAACATACCTAGTAAAAAATACGTAAACAATGGTTTATAAATTGATCTTCGCTTCCACCACAGGAGAACAAAAAAATAAAAAACTATTGGTAAATCCAATTGTGCATGCCCTAAGCGCATTAAAAAATTACGTTTAACATGATTTGTTTTTTATTATTTCTTAATTATTCCTTTGAAAAACGTTACACACTAGGATTTTCTCCTGAATCGTGGAGGCAGTTTACAAACAAAAATTGCACGAGGACAAACATCCATACCCGGAACAATTATTTGCAGACACAAATTTTTAAAGTAGTTTAAATACACACAAGTTTTCACTAATAACCTTAGTATTATAGTTCCAATATTCCAATAATTTTATGTCAAACTTCAATTTAAAAATAAAAAGTTTGGAAAATCCAAAAGTGCACGACTCATAATGCTCATAGATCATTTAGGTCCCTCCATAAAGTCCAAGACGTACTTAAGTATATTTATATATACATCCTACTTACTTTTAGTACGTTTAAAATATTTTAATAAAAATCTGTGATTATAATAATAATCAAGTGAGTATCAAATTTGGTTTTTCGAATATTTTGTATAGCGATCTTTTTGAACACGAGTCGCTGCAAACAACCGATATAGTATCCACTCACGACGGCAGCCAATGCCGAAGTGAGTGAATAGGGTAGTCTATTTAGTAAAATAAATTATTACAAGGCTGCTAAAAAAGTTAAAAAATTTAAATATTCAGAGATATCGTGTTTACCCCTCCATGCGGACTTGATAGATCCACACCATAAGCCACTAAAACCACTTTTTTATGTAAAAATAGCAATGAATCTATTTAATTATTTTTTTTAATAACTTCAACAATCATTTAATTTTCTGACAATGTGTTTCTATATCATATGATTGTTACACGTGCAATATATTGCAATATAATCACAATATGATTGTTACACGTGCAATATAATTGTAAACCATTAATTTATTTTAATTTGAAATACTATAAATCACTCACCGATCGTATATCCTCGTAAATGCCATTGAGATCATCTTCTAGTAAGCGATAAGGGTCAACGATCTGTGTGCCGTAGTCTGGGAGGGAGCCAGTACTGGTGCTTTGCAGGCTGGAGGCGAGGCGGCGGACAGCGCCGGCCGCCGCAGGGCCTACGCCACCCGAACCACATGCCGCCCCACATGTCGTCACACGCTGGAACAAGTACATATTCTTAGCTACATATACTTACAGTGATAAACAAGCAATAATTATAGACAAGGGTATTGATGATGAATTTAGAACATATAAAACTATAATACCTAGATGCTGATCCAATAACCAAGCTGAATTCCAACTATATATATATATATTAAGATACAAAATTTTGTGTTAGGAAAGTTAATTAGTTTTTAAGTTATAAATATGTTTCGATCGACATCCGTTTCACCCATTTAAAAAATTCGAAAGTTAATATTTAATTTCATAATAATAGGATAATGGTCAAAATAAACAATAATAATTTTCCTAATGTTAAATCTGTTTTTTGTTATATTACCTACTCGGAATTTACACAGTATTCAAGCAGAAAGTCAACATCTCATATATGTATGTTATACATATGTATATCGTGAGATGGATACAAAGAATGCAACTTTAAAAGGCGATAAATGTAATGAACTTATTAAGACCAACGCGGTCCGACTGTCTCAATACTGCCACCACACCAATCTCGCAATCATTTGCCACTTTAACCGAAAACTGCACAATTTATTTTTTTTCTTTTTTGGTTGGTCAGAGAAATATTCAACTGTTTTTAATAGTTCTGAGTCGGTTGCAGTTTAATCTAGAAATTATTGCGATGTGCAACTATAAACATTAGTGTCCATTTGTAACTTTTCAAGCCATTAAGCACATTCATTGCGAATATGTTCCCAAGGACGATACCTATAAGATATATGTATAACTATCAATTTTTATGCTCCGCTATTATCTTTTATATGCATGAAATTTTTAAAATACATGTACTATTTATATTAATGATCCACATGTATTATAAGATGTTATCAACACTTACTACACAAAATTTTCAGAAATATATAAATAGCGACATCACTGTAATTTCGTACTTAGCAATTGTGTAAAGTTCAAGTTGTTAAATTCACTCACGTGTCTTAAATTTATTTCAAACTATTTTAGAAATGTTTACTAATAATGTGAAGGGAATTGATAGTTCTATGTAATGGTATTTTAATTTTTGTCAAATTTAAAGGAAAGCCCCCAAAATACAAAGTAAATAAGAGGAAAAAATAATGAATTTTCATAATATTAGCAAGTAGCATTTAGACATTAATAAGCTCATAGCAACACTGCGCTACGACATCACGAACCAGTACAAGACAAATGTTGTGATTCAGTGGTACATATTGGACATAGTAGGGAAGGGCCCGATCGCCCTTAACGGCATGCCAGTGCGGCAGTGACCGCGATCCAACTGTCGCAATCGGCTTTATGCAACTGCACGCTAGTGCAGACACCTGATGGGCTCCGTACGTTGCAAAACCAACACGCGAACGACTCACGTATGCGCTTAAGTACGTACAAGGCGACCTAAATTATACAAGGGTTGTTTTTTATGGTGTTCGAAGAAATATTACGTCTTCACACTTATCATTATCCGCGGTAGGTAGTCGACATATTGCAGTTAATTGATATTGACAATGTCTATACCTTATTACTGTTCAGGCTTTAAATAACTGGTAGTAATGCGTGAATTTTTGTGTAGAAAAATATTATGCGCAGATGCACTTAAGTATTCGTAGCCTATTTATTACCACTTCCAAAGTAGGACACGGACTCCTAGACTCTATAATTAATATGTATTATCTAAGTAACTAATATGGTTACCCATCAATCCGCCTGCCGAGCGTGACGTTTAAGGAAAATCCTCCCCGAAACGGGAGAGCTCCATGGCCACTTTACAAACTCATGTGCAAGAAGATATAGTTACCCAATTGATATCGATTGGAGTAATCAAAATTATGTAACGTAAATATTATTACAATGATGCCTTAAAACATTTAACGTCACGTTAAATGTTTTCGTTCATTCGTTCTGCTAGAAGAGATTATTATATGGTGTAGTGAGGAAATTGAAAATCACAAAAAAATTATTGACGACTCCCTAAATTATGGCAACAAAAAAACGTCTCGGTAATTATTTTGTAACATTAGATAACATTTTTATACACGTCGACGTTGTACGTTGTATAGTGCCATACTGCATCTATATTAACGAATATTGTGATTTAATATTAATACATCTTTGTTTCTATAAGACGACTCTAAAAACCCCGAGAGGTTTATATGCTAGTATTGTACTGGATAATGTAACTTAATTATGCTTAATAAATTTAAAAAATATATTATGGTTTCAGCACAAATGGATCGAGTAGACCGGAGAATGACCATGCTCTCACAAAATATCAGTGTGAAATACCATTTTATTGTCGTTGTGTTTTGGCGAGTGTAGAGAACCGAAGACCTTTTTTACTGCTAATAATCTTAATACTTAGGGATGACAATGCATCTACGTTTTGACTCTTAATGGAAGATAGATTAAGGTATCTATGGGCCACAGCATCCACTTACAGTAAGGTGGACTTTACACACATACATAAATTTTATACATATATTGCATAAGGATATACATCCAGAAAGGGAAAAATTGTTTTCAGGCCATTCAAATACTTGTACCGTGCGGGATTCGAACCTGCAACCCTGCAGAATTACAACCAAATGCTTAGCCATGTTATTTACAATGTTATTAATACGAAAGCTTAATAACTTAAAGATGTAGTTGTAATCACTAATCACACAAGGCACATAATAGTAAAGTAAACCGTACGAATAAACAATGACATATTGTATTAGTTTTAGAGAGCCGTGGTAGTTCAAAGGACAAATGCTCGCCCCGTTGCGTGGGCGCCAATGTTAATTGCACTTTTAGGCGGTGATTTATCACGTGTTGAGCAGTGAAGAGAATTATCTTGAAGAAACTTGCATATATGAGAAATTTTAAATATTAGTTTAAATAATAAATTTTATACGCGGTAGAGCCATGCTGCAGCTATATTAGTAGTATAGTTGTAGCACGATTGGGTCGGCTCGACCGGGGAAGGACCACGCTCTCACAGAAAACCAGCTTAAAATAGCAGCTTAACGCTGCTATGTTTCGTATGGTGAGTGTAGAGAACCGGAGACCCTTTTTACTGGCAAAGAGGCAATCCGTCTTAGTCCTCACGGGTGGCAACGCATCTACATCTTGAGTCTTTATTGAAGATAGATGTAGATGTCTATGGGTCACAGTAACCACTTACCATCAGGTGGACTGTGTGCTCGTTTGTCATCCTATCCTATAAAAAAAAACTAAAACAACACGCATTGATCACAATACTAAGACATAGTCATGAAATTATTGTAATGTATCGCTTCTTGAAACGTCTACGAAATTTTATTTTATTCAGACGTCTGAAAGTGGGTGAAAACTGAATTACAAAATTCTATTCTATTACATTAATACATATCAATGTACATACATATACATTTGTGGCATTCTTTGGGGAAGACCTATGTTCAGCAGTGGACTTGTGATGTGCTGTAATGATTTTTTTTTATATGAGAGGGGGCAAACGAGCATGCGGCTCACCTGATGGTAAGTAGTCACTTAGGTGTAGTGGTGGCGGCGACTACCGCATCACCAGGGAAATTTCAGATGAAGAGTACCTTTAAAAAAGGGTAGGCCCTTTTCTTGAAGTTCCCTAAGTCGTATCGGTGGTATCGCGAGTTTTGGGTGATGATGATAATATATACGTCGATACATACAAGTTATATAAACAGTGTAAAAATATTTCAATTCATTTTATGTGAAGTACGCAAAAAACTGGGCACCGCAGCGGGCCCTTCCCTGCTTCGTATAGAATCCTCTCCAAGCGGATGAAGTCTATGAAGCTAGAGTTCAGAAGTAAAAGTATTTAGGTTGTCACTATATTTTTTATTAGTTTCGATTTAATTATTTTATTTTTCACTAACTAAAATATAGAACAGGAGAATGATCGGGGCGCAAGTCAGCGAGCACTAATGCAACACATTCAATGTTAATTGCAAAAAGTGATTGCTCGAACGGCGACCTTCCAGCGCTAGACGAACGGACCTATAATACCCTCGGCGGCACAAAGGTCGCGCTGATAATTAAGCGTGAACTGCCTTCATCAAAAAGCGCACCTTGTTCGCTTCAATACTGTCATAAATATTAAATACGCTGATACAGTTACATAATATTCATGGTCTTGGAATATTTATTCGATTATTAAAATCTAAACCTTATATAAATAGGGTGGAAGTCTTAAATACCAGCGCCTTCGCTAATATCAGTCTTGTTGCCTTTTTACTTTATATATAAGGTTTTTAATGGTCTTAATCTACGTAATCAAAAGAAAGTACATTTCAAATTAACCGACAACGCTCATTTTCCTAATTTAATTACACATTTTTAAATAAGGCTTATTTTACATTGTCTCATCTTTATGCCATGTGAGTTGCATGAATATAACTTAAAAGGTAACATTGACACCAAAAAGTCAATTTAAGACATCCACTCTCCCTTTTTCATATTCTTAGAAAAGAATATGAAGAATAGCTTAAAAATATAACTCATTTAAGTCAAATAAAACTAGTATTTCCTTAAGTTAACTATAAACTTAAAATGACTTAATTCAATGAATAATATCCTGATAATTAACAGAAACAGGTGGTACATCGTGGAAATTCACTAAAGAATCACTTAAGGCACAGTGTATCGAAAAATTAAATACCCGACTTCAGAAGCTATTATGTAGAAATTACATAAAATACAAACCAAACAAATGAAATTAAAATATAAATACTTCTAATTAACATAATATATAAATTAAAGGAAAAAGTGTTATACAAAATTATACAGTATGTAAGGCTTAGTTTAAATAAAAAATACTTGCTTCATCGCCGCCGTCTGTTGGTAGTGTGCCCAAAAGACTGGCTGAGTTGCCTCGCTGTATTGCGAGGCTGATCCGCTGACCAAAATATCTGCCAGCTATTGGGTCACCAGAGACATTGACAAGGCGTGATGAGATATCTCTGTAGAAATTATTTTATTTTTTGATATAAGTTTTTACTTTT